CCCCCAGCCCACCGCAGCCGAGAGGGAGCAGGAGCTGGTGGGGAAGCAGCCAAGGTCTCCCTTTCCTCCCCTTCCCTCCCATGCCCATTCCATCCTCCGGGACCGGCTCCGCTCACCGCGTCTCCGCCTCGCACCTCCGCTCCGCGCCGCTCCCCGCGGCCGGCAGCGCCTTTATAGACCTGCCCTTGGGAAAGACCCCTCTTGGGCAAAGGGAGGTGACATCGCTGCTCCATCCCGGCCCCCTCGACTCCACGCCGGCCCCCGAGCCCTTCCCGATCCCCCTTTGCTGCTGCACCGGCTCCGCCTTCGCGTCCCGGCGCCCTCCCTCACCCGAGCGCTGCTTTCGCTCTCGTTTCTGCATTCGCCTCTCAAAGTGAAGCTTTCAGAGCAATGAAGTTCGTTCAGCTGTGTGCAAGAAGGAGACGAGTGGGATTGGCGCATATTTTTCAAAGCTAAGTTTTCCAGGGGTTTGGTGAAGAATTGTTTTGGTGAGGAATTGTTTTCTGGCAAGGGGAAAGGCAGGGAAATTCCCCCTGCGAACGTTCTGTTCCCCAGCTGTAAACGCCAAATAACTCCCCAGCCCCAGCAGTCACCTCTGGCTGTGAGGACACAGTCTGCCCCGTCAAAGGCAGCCCCGAGGGGCCGATTCTGGCTGTGCTTGCGGGGAGTGGGATCGGCGCTGTGGGAAGCATCCCTCGGGCTCTGCCCGGAGCCTTCATCCCCTCCCGCAGCCTCCGAGGGCACCGAGCCTGCCAAAACAGCCCCGACCGGCAGCGCTTGGGCACTGCGCTGCTAAAGCCGGCCCCGAGCTTCAGCCTCTCCTTTCAGGAGCACCGAGATGACACCAACCCCAGCTGTGACACACAGGTACAACATCCAGCAGCTGAGGAGGTTTAAATCCCTTGCAGGTGACAGTGCTGTAAGTCTTGGACCCCAAGGATTGAAATGAAAACTGAACTCAGCCTTGCAGGTCCAGCCTTGGCAGAGTGTGTGCGTTCCAGTGCCAGACATGGGACTCCTGCACTTTGTCCTGCTCTGTCTCTCCAGATTCCCTCTGAACAGACACTGGTGAATAGTCAAAACCAGAGCAAGGGCCCAAAAAGCAAGTGCAAGTCTCTGCAAGGATGAGGGAACCACAGTGAGGATCTGAGAGGACGTGGAGGTTTTTCTCCTCAGGAGTCAGCAGCCAGCTCTTGCAGATCACTACAGAGAATTAACAATTCCACATCTGCCTTCTGTCTCTTCCCTCCAGCTCTCAGCTGCTGGGGCTGCAGATGGAGAATCTCATGGACTTTATTCTGAACACTCTTAAAGATCAGACCTACAAAAGCTAAACACACCATCCACCAAGAAAATCAAACCCAGTTCTCCACTACCCAGAAGGAGAAGGAAACACCAATGGTCAGGAGGAATCCAAAGCTCCTTCCAGTAAGGTCAGCTTCCACCCATTTTGGTTAAAGAAAATCCTCTGACTCCAGCAGGAGCCAAGAGGGGTCAGTACTACGGCAGGGCCTGGGCTGTGTTTATTTGCACTTTACACAGAAGAGGTGATGGGCTGATTTTCACAGGCCACTCTAAAGTGGTTTTCCATTATACTGCTTGTTTATCTTTTTTCCTCTGTAGCTGTCCAAAGTAATCCTGATGATTTGTAACACATTTTGACATAATCCCTGAGCAAAGGACTGCGAGGATTTTGCTTCGTCAGTGTGCATCAGCTCAGTAATTAATCAGCTAATCTCCCACCCCTGCCCTGGCACTGAGGCACAGACCCTTTACATTTTTGGGGTGAAACTCACCACTGGACCAGACCCAGGAGAAAGCCCTGCTCTGGGCTCACCCAGCTGGGGAGTTTCAGTGGGATCCCTCTGCCTGAGGTTTCACCATCCAGGAGCCGCAGAGCGTTTCCTTCTCCATGGGCAGAAACACAATTTCAGTTTTCCATCCCTGGATTTCACGTGGAACCCACAAGGTGGATGAAACAATAGCAGGTGGTTACATCCTGAAAGGCACCTGCTGGCAGCCCCTGTGTCCCAGCCATGGCCCTGCTGGGATGGACACAGCGTGCTGGGAAACTCCTGTCCGCAGCACTGCCATGCCTCACCAACAATTATTTTTGTTGTGAATTTGATAATGACAAAAATGTGTCAGATGGATGCTCCTAGAGAGAGAAACACCATGTTAATGGGACAGAAGGGGCTTCCCCAGACTCCAAAGAGTCTGGTGGAATAATGACCTTTGATTAATCTTGTTCTGTCTGTTCTTATGTTGGTCCCACAAACCTCCCAGAATGGGTTTATGGGTCACTGCCTGATTACCAGAAAGCAACAACACAAGTCACTACTGATTCCCACCAGAGGTAAAACAGAAAAGGAATTCAGCATCATATTACCATGGCTATGACTTCACTTCCCCATACAGGGCATAGTTTCACACTCCAGGGTGTACAGCAGCACCACCTTCCGAAACTACTCTTGCAAAATAAGGTTTCTTATTATATTCATAGAAAATTCTGTAAAGCAAAGAAATCCCTCTCTTCCTATCAATAACCACTTTGCCAGTCAAAGACAGGGCTCATCTCTTTCCTGATTAAACATTTTGCTTTGCTTGCTGTTTTCGGTCTCTTTTGTGAGTCCTTTCAGGTTTTTTTCTGGGGGGGGAAAAAAACCAGCAGGAAAGGTTTGTTCAATGACACACCACTAAAATTTCAGACAATGTTCCAGGTCTAGTCATAGCACTGCAAGGCAGGGGCAATCAAAAAATTAGTATTACTTCCTTCATGATCTGTAAGCCATGTGTCATTTGCTTCTGAAAATCAGTAAGGAGTGTCCAGGATGGGCTTCTGTCCCCCCAAGCATTCAGTAATTTGCATCAGTTCCTCTAAGCACCTAAAGCAATACAGAGTTTTCTGAAACAAGTTTTTCACTTTCTGTTCTTTATAATTAATTGTCCCTGTCTTTCCTTATTGTAAATTCAACAAGTTTCCAGATGACAGAATGGTCCTGACTGCTGGGGACCCTCTTCTTCAAGGTATCACAGGATCACAGAATGGTTTGGTTGAGAGGGACCCAAAGCTGATCCAGTTCTCCCATCTCCAGCAGCCACTAGCATCCGTCCATCCTGCCCCAGCCACCGACAGCAGGATCCATTCCCAGATCCACTGCAGTGCAATTCCCACTGCAGCAGAAATCAGCACCAAACCCAAACCAAACCCATCTGCACTGGCAGATCTGCTGCTGGGACACTGGGCTGCTTCAGAGCTTGTCTGGGTGGGTTCAGCCAGTGAAGGGCAGTGACTAAACCTCTTCAGCAAGATGATCCCTCTGCTGAAGAGTAAGAGATGAAGAGGAGTTCCCTGGACAAAGGGATAGAAAGTCCTGGATGAAGGGATAGAAAGTCCTGGATGAAGGGATAGAAAGTCCTGGATGAAGGGATAGAAAGTCCTGGATGAAGGGATAGAAAGCACCCTCAGCAAGTTTTCCCCTCAGTACAAGAAAGACAAGGAGCTACAGGAGAGGATCCAGCAGAGGCCACAGAGATGATGAAGGGCCTGGAGCATCTCTGATGAGGAGACACTGTGGGAGCTGAGGCTGGTTAGTCCAGAGAAGGCTGAGAGGGGATCTCATCAATGCACATAAATGTCTCCAAGGGGTTCCAAACTCTTTTTGTAGTGCTCAGCAACAGGACAAGGAGCAACAACCATGAACAAAAGCTCAAGATGTTTCACCTCAGCATGGGGAAGAGTTTTCCATGGAAACTCTGGAACAGCTGCCCAGGGAGGGTGTGGAGTCTCCTTCCCTGGACATTCCAAAGGCACCTGGAAGCATTCCCATGTTCCCTGCCCCAGGTGCCCCTGCCTTAGCAGGGGGTTGGACTGGGTGATCTCCAGAGGTCTCTTCCAACCCCAACCATTCTGGGAATCTCTTGAAGGCACTGAGATATCCTTGGCCTTGTTTCTCTGCCCCGTGTCAGAACAGAGCATCCCCAGGTTGGAACAGTTTTCAGACCAAAACTCCAGGAAAAAGCACAGCTTTAAAACTGATTTGGCTGAGGGGAAAAAACAGCTTCATCATTTTTATCCCAGCCAACCCTTTTCCAAGCATGTGGGGCGATTCAACCCCACAAATCTTCTCAAGTATTTCCTTCTGTCTTGCTGGATGTGACAGCATTTTTGCAGCCCACAGCAGATCATTTCCATCAGCAAAACCGAGCAGAGCTGTGGTGTCACCGCCCCTGAAGACACTCATGGCTGTGCTGTGGTTTCCCTCCAGTGGCACGAGCAGTCAGCTGCAGCTGTCCTGGGGGACCTTTTCAGGAGATGAGGCATTGAACTACTCACCAAAAAATGACATTTTATTGCTCACTGCTTCCAGCCTCGCTCCAAATATTTTTTCTGTTCATTTTTACAACAAACTTGCATTTACATAACATTTTTCTGTCATTTCCCCCACTTATATTTGAAATGTCCAGGACTTTATCTGCTTTATTTATTCTTGTTTTGCTGTACTGGAGATGTGGCTAGAAGGTAATATTCATCCACAAACTTAAACATGACAGAATATATGATAGTCCAGAACTACCTCAATTCCTGTCTAAGGCTTTGTTATTTTAATTGTTGATGAAATACAAAAGTTCCCATTTCTGTCAGCAACTCTTAGATTTGAAGTGACACTGGGTTTGACTTCTACAACCAGAAGAAATAGGAAACTTTAAAATGCAGCTCATTTTTTAATTTTATTAAGAATAAAAGTTTATTAACATAAAATTTCCAAATTCCATTGAAATGAAAAATCAGCCACAGGGTACAAACTTTCCACTTGTTCCTACCAGGGCCATTAGGACTCAATAGCCAATATTTTTATATCTGTTTATTGTTTTCTTTTTTTTTTTATTAAAATCAAATAAAATGTAGACAAAATGGTTTTATTTTACAGTCTAATTTACAGCAGCTACAGAAGATATAAAATAGATACAATTTTTTATATTAACCACTTATACCCACTACTCACAGAGAGTGGAAGTATTAAGGAATTTATTTTTAACCCATCGAACTTGATTAATTTAAAGGTTTCAAATAATTTAGTTCCTTCTTTTTCTTGGACAACAAATCAGGTAACACAGGCACAGTGCTGGTATTTCCATAAGTGAAGCCTCCTTAGAAGCATGTTGGAATCAGGCTTTGGGGTGCACAGCAGATGAGAGGGAGCTTCTCCTCACCCTCCACCAGTGAAATTTGCCTGTAAAAAATCATCCTTTCGGTATCTTCTGCTCTTGGAGACAGTGGCTGCTGCCAAACCCCAAAGAGGGAATGTGAATCACCTCTTCCAGGAACACCAGTGGGGAAGGGATGGGTAGTTTGGCCTCCTTAGCCAGCTCAGTTCCACTGTAGGATAATTCCTGGGGTTCTTCCATGATCTGGTATCACCTGAAGGACCCATAAATGACAGCTGCCTTCAGGATATAAAACTTCTGCCTAAGAGTGGCCACAGGAGAATTCAGAGGATAAAATAAGTAAAAAACTAAACTTTCTTAGTTCTAACAGAGGGCAATATTGTGTTTAGTCTCCTGCAGTGAGACCTTTCAGACCTGATCACCTTTGTCAGCACAATCTGTGCTGGTGCTCAGCTCATAATCCAGAGACAAGGATCACAGGGATTCAAAGGAACCTCCATCCTGCTCCTGCTCAGCAAGAGCCAGAGCACAGCCACTGCCTTCTGCTTCCTGCAGTGCCCTTTCTGTGTGGGATCAGGACCAGAAGAAAACTTGGATTAATCGCTTCCTCTTCACATCATTGCAGCACTTGGGGCATTTCCTCACCTGTAGAAATCAATGAAAAAAAACCCAGGGAGAATGTATTTATTGTAGAGGAAATGCCATAAAGAGAGGGAGTTTTCATGTGGGCAAATAGGGACAGGTTTTAAACTGAAATAGGGAAGAGTTAAATTAAATTTTAGGAAGAAATTCTTTAATCAGAGAGTGCTGAGAGGCCCTGGAACAGATTGCCCAGAGAAGCTGTGGCTGTCCCAGCCCTGGAGGTGCTCAAGGCCAGGTTGGATGGGGCTTGGAGCGATCTGGGATAGTGGAAGGTGTCCCTGCCCATGGCAGGGGGTGGAACTGGATGAGCTCCAATGTCCCTTCCAACCCAAACCAGTCTGTGAATCTCTGATATTTAAATATCTCCACCACACTTTGTCCAGTATGAACTACAAGCCACAGCAGCCATGTCCCTGAGACAGTATTTGCTGTTTGCAATCTCACTGTTACCTCACAGCCAATTATTTCTTTGGTGCAATAAGAAGGAGAGGAGGCTTTCTGGCACCATGCAAAGTGGCACCAGATTTTACAGCACCTGGCCCAGCTATGACACATCTGGAGGACTGAAATACAGGAATGAGGAGATGCAGAGCTGCAAGAGGAAGTACAGCTGCACTTGTGAGTAAAATCCTGTCAAGTGGCTGATGAGTTCCCTGAATTCCTGCTTCCTCTTGCACAGATGACAAGGAAATGTCTCCGAGCAGACCCGGACATGGATGACACACGTGGGGTTTTGTAGGGAAACCAAGTACATTTAAATATAGCATCCCACATCTTTCTCGTTAGCAGCACAAGACATGAAAGCACTTGAGGCACCATTTCTTCACTCAGGTTTCAGTTTGCTGCTTCATTAATCATCAATTTTAAAGTCATTTGACTTGCAGATGATTCCCAACTGTTCTTCTTGCAGATGATTCCCAACTGTTCTTCTCATAGCTTGCAAATTATTGGTAAAACTGAACTGCTCTGTTCATTTCAGAAGGGAGATAGTAAAAAATTTTTTTTTTTTTAAATAATCTTTGGGAGAAAATTGCCAGCTCAGGAGGCCTAAAAAGATGGTCAGCTACATCAGTGGCACTGCACAGCGTCCCCTGCAATGTGGGAGTTCATCATTAGAATCACAGACTGGTTTGGGCTGGAAGGGACATTAAAGCTCATCTTGTTCCAAACCCCTGCCACAGGCAGGGACACCTTCCATCACCCCAGGCTGCTCCAAGCCATGTCCAACCTGGCCTTGGACATTTTCAGGCAGCCACAGCTTCTCTGGACACCCTGTGCCAGGGCCTCACCACCCTCACAGGGAACAATTCCTTCCCAATATCCCATCTAACTTCTGGCAGTGGGGAGCCATTGCAAGAAAAGATGCAGACTGCAAAGTAGGCTCGGGCAGTAGGACTTTGGTTCTGGAAACATTAACTGAAGTATCATAAATAGAAGGAGAGAGGAAAATTCACTTTATCTCCCAACAGCCAGTACTTTGCCAAAGGCAATTTTAACTTTAACATTTAATTATGAAATCTTCAACTATTTGCCCATATTACAGATAGTTCAAATGAAAATAACTTAAGTCTTCCTGGAAACCTGCATGAATAAACAATGCATTTAAACACTGGGAAGCAGCAACAGAACCTCTGGAGAGAAAACCACACCCCAAAGCAGCATATTCTGGTCCAGTCTCTGCAAGGCTTCCCCTAACACACTGAATCACCCAACATGCTCCAGCACAAATCCCCCTAATCCCC